GCCTTGTCAAGCAAAGATCTGAATAAGCCGATTGAGTGTACACATCTGAGACACATCAGTTGGATACGACAAGTGATGGAGCGAGGTGTCGTGCACTGTGCACAGTGGTGTGACACTCGCGATATGCCTGCGGACGGCCACGCCAAAAGGAGCATCGACAGAGCCGTGCTCCTACATGTCATGGGAGGACTCCAGTCCTTCAAGCATGACTTAAAACGACGCTCCATACAAGGCTGGCCAGACAAGATCGTCTGAGCCGCCTGAGGAACTGCTATCTGCAAGGAAACTTGCCTGCGAGGTAACTTGCTTGCAAGGTCACATGCACGCGGGTCAACCTGCCTTGTTGAGCCCGCCTGCTGCTGCCGATTTTGTGTATTATAGTAATATGCTGTATAGCTGGCGGCGGAGTCGCGCTTCGCTTCCTCCCCCCCGACTCTAAAGAAGGCTAGGGCAAAAACGAGAGATGGCGAGCATTTGTCCGTGGCCGTTTGTGATCAAGCGGCCGGCCGCCAAAATATGATTGCGCTTCATCGCGAGGCACATTACTTGCCATCGAAATTGACAACATTTTTGCTTGACGTGGCTCGTCGCTCCCGCGACCCACTCCTACTCCTGCTACGGCACAGCAGGGTTGGATATGAGCTTCGCCTTAGGCGAAGCATCTGGTTGGGCCTGTCAACCCCCCTGTCAAACTTCGCAACCGGGTCTTATGCACCCTTTCGGGTGGCCGGCGGGCTCGGCCGAAACCCCAGGAGAGAATTCGCTTGGAAAGAGAACCGAAACCGAAAGGGTCCAGCACGCCAGGCACCCTTTCGCACCTTCTCCAGTGCTCATTTCAATTCCTCCAATTCGATTCGATTCGATTTCGATGCCTTCCGATTCCGATTCGACTCGACTTCGGATTCCGATATTGATGCCGATTTCCCAACGGAGGCCTTTTAGCTTGCAGACTTTTGCCGGTTCGACTTGTCCCGTCTTGGCTGCCGATTTTCTGCCGACAGATTCATTTCGATCGCCGATCCGACTTATCGATTCGATTTTGGGCTCTCTTGCCCATGTTTTCCCCCATGGAGCAGGTCTTGGCTGTTTTTGGCGCCCCCATCAAGCAGGTGGAGTCGCCCCCGCAGGACGCGCTGTCGCAAACAGTCGCGGTGAGCTTCCGCCCAAGGTCAAAACGCCGAATCAGAAAACGTTCGCCTGCGTTGTAGGTCAGAGGCCTCCCAGGGCCTTCTTGGCCCCTTCTCGGGGCGCTCGGGGCCTCGAGAGAGTGGTGCGGGAAGCGCCGGGGAGCCGCGGGGGGCACGCCGAGAATTCTGGGGAGATGTGAGCATCTTTGGACCAGGCCCTCGAAGACTCAGTCTACAAGGGGGACGAGGGCACTCCCAACCTCAGACATGCTCGCGTCGTTCAAGAATCAGGGCGGGAGGTCTGTTCTGTTTTCGGCCTCTGGAGGCCCTCGCCAGACCCGGGCCCGTCAACACACGAGTCAGGATGAAAAATTGGTCCCAGGGAAAAGGTCGGGACTTACAGGGACAGCGTCTTGAAAAAAACATGACGTCGCATGTCTGGGACTTTCTGCCTCGCGGCACGGTGGCGGACTTGGTTGGCTTGGACGAGACGAACAGCAGTGGCACGGATGGCGGCGATGACGAATGCACAAGTTACTTGGCCAAAGTGATGCAGGATGTTTTAGGTAGCTTGGATCGTCACCTCTCTGAGCTCACGCCGATCGACCCCGTGGTCCTGAACGGCCGCCTTCCCCTGGCGCAGTTGCCGCTCCGGCTTCCGGCGTTCGACATGACTCTGAACAAGAGAAACAAGCCAGAGTTCACCAGCCTGGACGACGCAGAGGCAAGGAAGCAGATTCTGAGCGTCACGACATCGCCGCTGCTCAAGTGCTGGGAGGTCACCGAGGGAGTGAAGATGGAGGAGCACATGTGCGTCGAGTTGGATCAGGCTGCCTGCAACGCCGCAAAAGCACAGGGGGACAAGGGCATCTACGCGAAGCGGGTATCCAGCTGCCTGCGGCGAGTCCCGCCACGGTGCCAGCCCAGCATTCCGGGTGGCGACTGTTCCAGGGGGGCATGGGAGGCCGTCACGTGGGACATTTCGTGTCCCAAAACTTGGGTGAGCAGTGATGATGTTGCTACTGCTGCTGATGATGATAATGATGATGAAGATGATCATGATCATGATCATGATGATGATGATGATGATGATGATGATGATGATGATGATGATGATGATGATGATGATGATGATGATGATGATGATGGTCATGGTGATGGTGATGGTGATGGTGATGGTGATGACGATGATGACGATGGTGGTGGTGGTTGTGGTGATGAGAGTTATGATGGCCGCGACGATGATGATGTTGATTCTGGTGCTGTTGATAATGATGATGATGATGACGATGATGATGATGATGAGGATGATGATGATGCTAATGATGGCGATGATGATACTGATGACTGTGATGATGATGACGATGATGCTGCTGCTGATGGTGATGGTGGTGTTGTTGATGTTGATGCCGATGCTGATGCTGATGCTTATAATGATGATGACGATGAC